GCCCCACCCTTGCCCCCGCCCCCGCCAACACCAGCGGAGGCGGCAGCAGCGGCCAGGCTGCCGTTTGCTTCCTGCACGGCGGGGAAAGCTGGTACGGGCCCAGACGCCGGCCCCGCAGCGCTCTCCAAGCACCCACTGCCCTCACCACTGGTAGACGAAGGGTAGGAGGTCTCGGAGGTGGGGCGGACCAGGCCGTCTTTGGTCGGAGACGGAATGGAACTTAGAGACGGCTCGTTCGAGTACTGTGGCTGTGGGATAAAGAAGAACGGGCGCGGGACAAGAGCAACGGGCCATGAAATCAGCATTAGCCGTCAAATGGTTACAGTCTATACACTCTGTCAATATCGCTGCAACGGTATGCGATGGGTACGGTACGACAGCTAGTGAGGCAACGAGAGAAGGTAACCGTCGCGCAGTGCTTTAGCTCACCTCGTATGGGACATGGCCAATGTGGTTTGGAGGACTGCAGCCCGCCGCTGGTGCCTGCTGCTGGGGCTGCTGGGGCTGCGTGGGCGTCATCGTCAGCGGCGGCCGCTGCTGCTGTGACACGTACATCTGCCGATGCAGGGAGCCCTGCGCCGCCAGCGGCAGGGCCACAGACAAGATGACGGAGCCCAGCCTATCAATGCCGGCTGCGGAATTCAACGACTCGTCCACGGCCGGCTCCATCTCCCCCCCGTCGCCGTCCTCGTCGTCTTCAGGCTCCTCGTCGTCCTCATCATACCCCTCTTCCAACACCTCCTCCTCAAACTCCGCCAAAGCCTAAGACATGACAGTCGGCATGTTAATAGGAAGCGTGCATTAGAAGAAGACAGGGCAGGGCGTGAGGGAAGGCCATGCGAAACACATCTAAGCGATGAACCCCCAACGCTGTGTCCGAGGACGGGGGACACCGTTCTTCTCCGCTACCGTTGCATGCAGGTTACCCGATGTCAAATATTCCTTACCACGCAGACGGAAGGCAGCCACGTCGGATATATTCCTCAATCCCCCAGCTTTTGTGGTAACACAGAGCGCAATAACATTTTAGCAATGCCACACCCTGCCACCACGCGCTCGACTCCTTGACTAATCCTTAGTTTTCAATTTCGGGGGTTTGGAAGTCATCTTTCCTCTCATGAACGACATCCATCCACCACACCATAGTCTCTCACCGCTTGGGCCAACGACATGCCGGGGTGATTCTGGCGCAAGGCCTCCAACGCCGGCGGTGCGGTCTTATGTCCCATCATGAAATTGCCAGTGCCAGTGCCGGTGCCTGTGCCGCCATCTCGCGCCAGGGGCGACCGACGTTCTGGCGACAGGTGGCCCTGAGGCGCATGGCTGGCAGCCGCCGGCGACTGTGAGGCCGCCGGCGCCAGGTAGTCCTTCGCGGGCCCTATGCCGTCCCGCGTCGCAATCAGGGAGGACACGTCAATCGAAGCAGACCGCTTGTGGCGATTGGACGACGGCGGCGCTGACATGGGCCCTGGAGGAGCCCCTGGCCCTGCCACAGCCGCAAGACTCCCCTGAAGTGGCCACCCACGGTTTAGATAAAAGGGTTAGATAGGGTCAAATAGGACGGGTGAGCTACATGAAGCACGGCGGCTTCTGTGCAACGAAGGCAGCTTCAGCGGGGAACGCGGACGCCGAACGGACAAAAAACGGTATTAATTGCGCTCCTGTCGGCGCTACGGACCCCCTGGCGGGGCGCTGAACGGTACAGTTCACACGCGGCCGCTGAACAGCGGGAAGACGATTTCAGCATCAGACCTACCCGCCTGCGCCCTAACGAATGCCATGAATGCGAAATTACCACTTCTTGTAACGTAGGTCAAACAAGTGGTCAGGCCCGAAGAAACCCATCCGAACAACCTGCTGTCTATCCGATGTGCTGTTCGAGCCCGACGCCGCCTCGGCCCATAGGTTCGCGTGCCCGCCCGCCGTGAAGCCATGGGCCGACGGAGACACAGACACTCCTCCAGTTGCTGTGGGCCCCATGCAAGCGCTGTGGGCGTGGGAAAGCATCGCATGCTGCTGTTGCTGCTGTTGCTGCTGCTGCTGCTGCTGTTGCTGCTGCTGCGACGCCGTGTGTACGAACGCGGCCTGCCCACCGCTACCCGCCCCGTGACTGACGGCTGCGTTGCGGAAGAGTGCGGCAGCCTGCGGTGCAACACTGCCTGGATGTGGCGGCAAGCTGCCAGCGCCGCCGCCAACACCGGCCATAACGACAGCTGAGATTTGTTGTTGTTGATGTTGCTGCTGCTGCTGCTGCGCCGGCGGCGACAGCTGCTGCTGCAGGGTCGAGGGTGGAC